CTTCTGTCCCTGGCCATGAGCCATTTCCAGGGCTCAGAGGGAGCCTCTGAAAGCAAGAGATGCCCTGGACTGGGGATGGTGCCTTCAGGGCTACTGGGATTAGGGCAAGCAGGGGGCAGAGGGGACCAAACACGCATGGAAAAGCTGCTGAACCAAAGCTGCCAATCTCCGGGTGATTTGGCTGAGCTCTAGAGCAGCTCTGACGATGGAGAGCCAGGAAATGCAAAGCTCTGCGGGAGAAGGGGAGCTAAGTACCGTGCTTGGTTGTTGCTAAGAATACAATTATCCATACTAACGATTGCCTGCCTGATAGGATTACCAATAAAGACAAACGCAGGGAGGATCATGGCTTCACTTCCTTCCTCCCACTCGGGGATTTAATCCTGTCTTTGTTTGAGTTTTGTCTTTGGTCAGTCAATAAAAAAACTCTGCTCCGGGTGGTATCTCCGGAGCCTTTTCCCATAGGAGAAACTTTCCGGGGTGAATTCCATGTCTGCTCCCCTCATGTGCATCCTGCCCCGTGCTGGTTTCACCCTGGCAGGAATAGTTTAGGCCTTCTAATTTCAGCCTGCTTTGTGAAAGGTTGGCTAATCCTCCCAGCAGTGTCGAGAGGCAGGAAATCCTCAGAGGCAGAGTCTGGGGGAACCTGACAACTCCTCGGCCACTCTGCTTGCCAGTTTGTGATGGCTTTTGGACACATCCTGGTTTGTCAGTCTCCTGTTTTTCAGCAAAATGCTCGAGGGGAGGCTCTGTCAGCCCAGCTGCTCTCAGCACCAGCTTTACCTGGTGGGTATCCCAGCAGTTGATGGCACTGATGTCCCTGCAGCTCCTGGGGAAGGTGGAGCATTGATGCTCTGGAGCTTGGCATGGATGTGCTGCCAGATGCTGCTCACCCAGGGGAGTCAGGACAGCCTTCCCGGCCCTGCCAGCCCCTCCGCTACCCCGCCAAGGGCTAACAAGGTGCAAATGCTCATTAAACATTTCCCGGAGGCCAGCCAACAGCCCAGCGGGTCAGAGCTCACCGAGCCCTGGGTGCCTGCGCAGGGAACATCCCGGGAGACCGAAACCTTCCCGTTGTTCGAATGGGATCCGTTAACGAGTGACAGGACAAGAGGAAATGTCCTCAAGTTGCGCCAGGGGAGGTTTAGATTGGGTATTAGGAACAATTTATCCACTGACAGGGGTTATCATCCTAGAAGTCTTTTCCAATGTAAATGATTCTAGTTTGGGAATGACTTTGTGGATGTAAAGCAGTGTCTAATGAAAGATCCCCTTGTCCCAAGCCGGACTCGCATCAAGCAGAGCATCCCGAGCCTTCCTCTCTGG